ATATCGTTGTTCACCCTCACCGGCAAACTGGCAAGAATGTCACGTGCCTTTTGGACGTAAGCAGACGTTTATCACGGAATAGGGTGGGAAGGTTGAATTCTAATATGCTGTTGTTTTACGTGCTTTGTTAGAACACCCTTCTGCCATATAAGAAAGCTTTTACCAAAGGAGAACTTTCGCAAGGAGCCAGCGATTGCTGGAAGTGAGGGCATGGTAAGAATCATTGGTAAAACGCAGAGACGGATACTGATAAATATGTCACCTAAAGTTAGGAAGGTGTCATGGTTTTAGATCAAATGCTGCCATGGAAGAATAAGTATCTCACTTTCCGATAGACCTTCTACTGTAGCGATCAGAAATGAACAGTTTCCAACGTTACATGACCTCCAGCTGTAGAAATTAGCACATGCAAAACAATGGAAGAATATGTGGAGCGGTTTTGTTTACGACTGGCCCCTACTATTGGATGTTGAGCACAAGGAGGACAAGGTTCAACCGTTCAGGACAATCGACACAGAAGTGTTCCCACACCTGTCATATTTCGCCCACGTCACAGCCCCTGAAAGTTTCATACGCCATCAATATGTGCAGAAAAGTCAAACGATAAGCGGTGTAATCCCTCGTCGATTTCTGATTGTAGGTTCGGTGACATCAATTTGTTCCGCTGAGACCAAAGTCTGCAAATCGACAGAGTTGACCAACGAATAATGTACCTCATTTCTGTGGATTCATGAGTCCATTTGTTGACGGCATATCATCTATTTTCGCTGTTGGCTGGAAAAAAACGACTGAAAGCCATTTTAAAAGTGCCTGAGTACTTCACGGGTTTAATCGGTGCATTTAAAGGATTAAAACAAACTGAAAGGGAAAAAATTGGTGAAATATGTACGGTGAATAAGTTTTGGAAGCCTAAAGTTTAGGCAACTTACATGGGCCATAAGCTGACGCGATGTTATGAATAATCATCGCTAGGAAAGCAACCCTCATCATGGTAACGGAAGTGCTATCATTGGTTCAGCTGGCTGATAGTTACTAAGATCCGCATGACCCCCTAAACTATATTCCACTCCAACCAATTTACTGAAGGATACGTGCACTATGGAAATCAGCCTTTTAGTAGTAGTTGATGGTCTTATTCGGGGATGCTCTTGAAGTGAGATAAGACTTCCGTCTTGCGATCAAAACACTGATATAAGTATTCTCATCTTGCTTTGTATGTGAACCGTTTTCACCCGACGGCAAACATCCTGATGAATTATGCTGCCCCCTGCTTTCTACGGGATCCTAGTAGTAAGCACAGTGGTACAATCAATTCATATAAAAGGCAGGGTTCAGGCGCAAAACTTCGGGAATAAGAGAATGCGATTATTAAATTTTAACAGCGCGAAGATAATAAAATCAGAGAAACACTGAGTTTTAACAACGTCATGACTGCTAGCTGTTGTTAGGACTTCGCGTATCCCGTAGGCTGACAGCTGAAGACGGGCGCAGAAGAATGGGCGTGAGTGTGGTGGTGGCAATCCGATCAGACTGCAAACAAATTTGAAAGGGAAGTTGCAAAGAATATAAGACGCTGACGCCGGATTTCATTTTGTCTTGTAATGAGACAATGAGGACAGATTTAGACTGTGTGAATGGTCCTCATGGGATACCTTAGGCAAACCAGCTGCCGACCAAGTGCCAAGAGCTTAAACTCTCCCCGGTGCGCTAGAATCCTATTTGAAGGAAGGAACGGTGGCTTGAATGGAATGTTTGAGATCTTGCGAATAAGGGGCGCAATATTTGTAACATTTTTTCATCGAAGTACCCATATGCTACTCGAGAGGACCACAAAGCTCAGAACCCTTTGACTGCAGCCCTGGTGCAGTGCGAAGATGCCTCCAGATTTGGCTGATGATGACTCCCGAGCCTTTGGTTTCTTGGGCATTGAGTACTGGTGACCCATCCATCGTATACTGGTGACAGCTGCAATGGTTGGTATGTGCAACTGAATACCTCGACCAAGTGAGCGGTCCATCTAAGTCAGCTTGTAGTACACGTCTGCCAAAATTACTGTCGACGCTCTCCATATTTTCACATCTTCGGTCAATAATAACAGATAATAGTGACAATACAACCCGGGAGCTGATTGACGTAGACCGAGAAGAGGAGAGAATCCAACATTACTCCGTGCTCGACCTCACTACAAACTTCTTGTTGTGAGATTAACAGACGAAGGTTCCTTGGTTCCCACGTCTGTTTTATTGGAGTACGTTCTAGATTTGCGATGATCGCGGATTCCTTCCCTGTTCCGAAACAGCTAAAAGGATGGAGATAATCATTTATGAATTAACCTAGTCTCGAGGTGGTATTACTGCACCCGATCCGCAGATGACGGAAAGCTTCTCTATCACGGCTGGTTGGTACTGAAAACCCCATATGTGTTTTCAGCCTCCTTTTGAAAGTATCGGAGGAAGGGGCTGTAACAAATGCTGAAAAAGAGGATCTGTTAGGAGGCAGGGGATCGTGAGCAGTGTGGTACATCATGATCATGTCCCCATTGATCCACCTGTGTTGCACTGGATGCAGCTTAGGAGCGACTAGACGGTCCAGGTAAGGTTTGTACCATGAACCAATCACTTTCATTTCAGCTCTTCTCTGAATCCGTTGTAAGATAACTCTATCCTTCTTCAGTTATAGGGAGATCGCAAGCAGATTTTTCTCAGAAGTAGGAAGAATATTTAGTGCATAAGCTGCGGTGAAAAGGGTAGTTAAACCCTCTGAAACTCGGGAAAGGAACTCCAGGTCTCCATAGGCCATCTTAGCCACAAGGTGACAGGAACGGTTCTGGGTCCACAGCTATTCCTCCTTTTGTGAACGACCTTCCACTGAATTTCAGCTACCCGCCTCTCCTTCGCACTGATGATGCTAAGTTGTAGAGAGCTATACGTCGGAAACAGAATCAAGTGCACTGCAAAGTGACTTCAGATTACTTGCAGAGTGGTTGGATATCATTCGACTAGCATTTAATCTGGATAAGTGCCAAGTCATGTTTCTCCCCACCCAAGACTCTCAGAAGGTACCATATTTCCTCTGTGGAACACAACTTTCCCACACCACTATGGGGAAAGACCTATGACTGATACTGACCGACGAACTAGACGCTGGCTGCAATTATCCAGACGCCTCCACAGCCTACATAGTATCGCACTTCGTGCGCAGACAACTGGGTGCCCTGACCCGGAACTCTTTTCGAAGCTGCATAAGACCTGTATACGACCCCACCTACAGGTCCTTAACGTCACTGCACCACCGTATCTGAAAAGAGACGTGAACCTCTTAGAGAAAGTCCAAGGGTGAGCCACTAAGGTCACAGAGGGAACGAGGCGAAAGCCATATCAGGAACGGCTAAAAGATCTGGGACTCTACTCTCCAAGCTACTGCCGACCAAGTGGTTACTTGGTGACGGCTTACAAAATACTAGGTAACCGAAGTCATCCAAACGGTGGAATCCCGCCGAATGACCACTATGGCGATCCTCGTGGATACCCAAGGAGAATTGCCTATCAAAGAGTGAAAACTCGTGTGCGATCACGCTTCTTTTCTCTTCGAGTTTGCGGCCATTGGAATGCATTGCCTGCCGAGATCGCCACTGCCCCATCTGTTGACAGCTTCAAGAAGAGGTTGGGCAGTCATGCAGTGATGCATGGTTTGCGCCCGTCCAACTGGGATGTGGACTAGGCTGACATGACCTGCTAACTAGGTACGGCCAGCCTTTGCTGAATACGTTGTAACATTACTGTCACTGGGATCTTGGCTCGAACTTATATTTCGCTACAAACGTCCCCCCCCAGTTACCGTCTCATGCTAAAAGAATTACTACATCCCTATCCGTCCTATAAAGTTATCTATTCTTCGTCCTTCTGACTTTACGCCCACAAACTTCAACAGGAGCTCTCCCTACCACTCCTTTTCCATACACCTACCGGTGTTACTTCTCCTGTGCCGTTTCCCTTTTCCTAATAGTCTTGTTCTCTCTTTTTCTATTTGTTTTTCTTTGCACTTTCCTTTGATTTCTCTGAGCATGTTTTTCATCCCCAACCAGCTGTCTGCTGGCACGACACTTGAGGAACCCATCTGCACCACAGTCCTCGGGAGAAAAAACAAACAAACAACATTCCATACAAATTTAACCAACACCCAACCGCCCGTTTGGCTAATCAGAGCCACAGCAGTCGAGTGGGTAGACCTACAGCGTCAGAATCCACTAAAGACCTGGAACGGTTACGCGAGGCCTGGAAGTGAGCGCGAAAATGTCAGTTGTTTTACGCTAGCTCTTGGTGTGTCACGTACTGCAACTCCCAGATCTTGTTCCATGTTCAAGTGACAGATGCTTATTTCACCCAGAGAGAAAGAACAGGGTCTGCTTTCATGTTTGTTAACCATCATTATCCTACGCTTCTTCGAGTTGAGAGGGAGCAGGTTTTCTGTTGTCCAATTTAGGGTTTTTGTAAGTTCCTTCTAGAGGACCAAAATATTCGCTATCACCTGTACTTCCTCACAAATCTTCTCACAGTTTGTCATTCACTGTCACTTTTTTTCTTACCGCGAACACCTTCTTCGAAATAAGTGTGCATTACGATGCTAAACCTGAAACTTGAGAGCTTCTTTATCACCTTAATGTGAAAACTTACTAGGATCTTGTTGTGAGGTGCTGCTACCCGTTCATCTCTTTCTATGAGAAGGTTGGTTGAACAAGGCTGACCAACGTGGAATCCATGCTGTAGAGGTTCGAGGAAAATATTATTTTTGACATGGTTAGTCATCCTGTTTTCTAATAATTTTCTCTAGTACTTTATTAAATATATCAGATATGCTGACGACATTACAAAGAGTACAACTACATCCGACAATTAAAGGCAGTCGATGAATGATGACTGTTCACATGGAAGAATCAAATGAGTCTCTAAAATGAAACTGAAAGTGGACGGGTGAGGTAGGAAATAAGTTACATTGCTTCATTATACAGGGCGCAATATACAGTCATTGCGTTACAATGGTATAGGAGTTATTCATCTGAAGAAAGGATGGCTTCTGAAGAGCTTAATAATTCAATTGCAAGCCTTATGGTTTTAATTTTAATAATTAAATTTGTAGAGAAAGCCATCTGCAAGGCGTTCGAAGCCTGACATGGCAGCCTTGGTAGATCAGCAAAGATTCTTCGAATCCTTGTGGTCTAGGAAGCCAATACTTCAATTGGATTCACTTGTGCCAGTAGTGACACTGCACGTAAGCACCTTTGTCAGGATTTCTAATAATAAATACAGGACTTGGAAATAAATGGAGTGAACTTAGAACACGTTAGTCCCCCGTCGTCTTCCTATGCAGAAAAACGTTCCAAGAACATCTACTTGTTAGTTTTAAAATATATAGGATCTGTTATTCGCACTTACTTTTATTCTGTAAATGGTATTTTCGGAAATTTTGCATTCGTTCATTTGGCTGATATGCAAGTTACTTATATTGACACCACTGATGTATTGTTGTTCATTCTTTGAGTAAACTAAAATGACTGTTGGCTTACGGTGTGTTCCAGATGTATATAATCACAGGAATTGGTGTTTAAATTTTCAATGCTGCTCGGCACTAACTCCTTTTTTCTATGCAGTAGGTCTAAATTAAGGATTTTTTTCAATGTATTTTAATATATAAGGTTCTGCATTAGAATTAAAAGTCACAATTCAAATGTAGCCTACACAAAGCGTGTAAAAATTCCTTAGCAATCCACTAATAGAGCTTCATATGCAAGAAAGTGCAGATCAGTCCCTTTTAGTGTGAGCCCAGTCGCAATCAGTACCAAATCAGGTTGGGAAATGTGCTGACCATCTTAATCCGTGGCCCGTTAAGTGGGTTGTTTGATGCCTGTTTCATTCTAAAGAACAGTAGGAGTCTAGTGTTGCTTTAACGAATTCAACGTGAGGAGCGGATACCATGTGACGGTAAATAATTCGTCTGATTTGCAGTTAGATGTGAGAAGTGGACTCTCAGTTGAAAGCCATTTGGCCTTGCTTTTTTAAACTCTAAGGTGGTGTCGTCTTAAATAAGATCAAGTTTACTGAATCAGTGAACTATGCTTATTAGGTTGGTAACTAAAATCTTACTGATGCAATGACTTTATTATTGACCCGTTGCAATGGTACCGGCGGTTTCTTATTGTTTGGGTTTAAACCAACAACATTTACGGGGTCAGACGTAATTTATACAGTTTCAAGTAGATGTTAAAAAGCTGCCAGCATTTGGTAGTATCTGTTTTCGTAGTTTTTTGTCATCCATGAGACAGATTCATCATTAAGTTTACATATGGTACTGGGGTAATTAAGCACCTAAAAGTACACGTTTGGATTGTCTCAGTTTTTTAATGTATCAGTTCATATAAGCTATCAGCAAAGGCGGTCACAACTAACCGAATTCCGGAAGCTTATCACTAGGGTTTTATTCGATTTTTCGGAACATTTTGTACCTTATTCTGCAGATTACATACGTAAGACATTGAACTAGGTGACAAGCAAAAATAATATACTGCTTAATTGACTGACTTTATACAGAAATGTCGCCATAGAATCATTCCAAGCATGGTTAGGGTATTAAAGCATATGTATGGTCCATTTCTAGGTGCCTACATTATACGATTCTGTGTAGATAGTAAAAACATACTGTTGAACGAGTATCCATTCATTGCCTATAAGCTTGTGGAGCTTTGTAGATCATTCGTATTAGGGTCTTTAAGAATGAACAGATACCATGTAAAACCGTTTTTAATGACTTGACTGTCCACTGTGTACTCATTTTTCCTTGCTATGTTATACCTCGTTGCTTTATGTTATCTTGATTGTATGCTTTGACCAAGCTCTTATTTACATGATAAAAACTGGTTGATGCTTGTGATTTGAGAGCGTAATATGTAGTATCAGAAGAATGAACTTTCAGCGACTGCTTAAAGGTAAAATGCATGCCTAGAGTATGAAATCATAATCTAATTTAATCGAGTTTCTGGGTGTGCTAAGTGTCAAGACAGTTTGATCCCTATGGTGTGGCTACATTTAGTTTTTTTGACATACAAAAACAATCCATTCACTTCTCTCGACCATGTTATTTGTTAGATTTATAGAGTTTGTGACCTGTGGGTTGATTAAATTTGTTTGTAATAAACTTACGTCATTTGCTTGTTTTTGTAACTTTCTCTTTACTGCAAGAATATTGTAACTTTAACCTTGACTTTCTAATTGCCGACGAAGAATCCTTAAATTCTTGTACACTGCATGGTTAGGCGCATATATATATATATATATATATATATATATATATATATAACGGGGTATCTAAAATAGATTTTATCGCCGAGATCCTTTTATGAAGAACATCGTTACATTTCTTTTAGTATAATATTGACAACTATAACATGGAATGACTAAATTTGTAGTTCATGTAAGTACTTTTTATCCTCGGTGTGGTGTATAGCATAGTCTCTTAGTACGAAGGATTATATCTACGGAAACAGGAATCGGCCTTGGAAATTTAGATTCATTGTTGTACGTCACCTATCTGGATGACATTTCAATCAGTCAGTGGGTCACAGGTTCAAACGCTGCTCCACTTACCGAGGTTTGGGCAACCAGGTTTTATCTCTAGGCCACACACAATAGATGTGACTCATTGTCTACTACACGGATGTGTACAAGTGGTATGAATGCGTTTTGTTGGTTTCGTTCATTATGGACGACATTTCTTGGGTCCGTATTTTCTGGCTTCACATACTTTTTGATAGTCATGACTAATAGATTCAGAGAAAGGTATTTCTTTGGGATGCTATTTGGCAGCTACTTGCCTAAGGTTACTGCGACCTACATGGTATATAAACTACAACTTTAGCCCTTAACACTATTCCTTTTTTGCCAGTTTATTTTGTTGGAGTAACAGCTCATATATTATCAACAGATGACTACTACTCGAGTTACGCTAAAGTTAGTTGCACACACACAGCAGATATGCTTTACTCTATACGAAAATTTAACTGAGTTTCAGCATACATCATAACCAGTCATTGTGATTGACCCATCGTTCTAAAACTTGATATCAATAAAAGGATACATACTTAAGTGTCAACAGATGGGAGCAGTTTTATGTTGTAAGTAAAACTCTTTGTGCATATTTCTTCGTTGCCAACTTTCCTCCTCATATGATTACATTATTACTTTACCCTATGTATATTTCTTCTGCTTACCTATCGCTTAGTATGTTTTGCACTGTATCATTGTGATAAGTGTTTACTCATTTTGGTTAGGTGTCCTTTTACAAAGTATACACTTGAATTAGAATCCTTGGTCATGTATTGGTTACTAAAGCTAAGTAGGGCTTTAGTGATATGAATGACTTTTTTTTACAGTGAACTGTATAATTTCTCACCGTAATAACATTGTATAACGATTGTTTCCTTCAGCACTCTTCACTTAGAACCATTCAGAAAGATCGCAGTGTGACTATAAAACATGATTCCCGGCATAATCAATATGATGGATTGGAGGTGGATATAGCTCGTTATCAGGTATCAGTTCAGTGTGCTTTTGTTGTTACGCTTTGTAAACTGTTACGTGAAACAGACATAAGGAAAATATTAAAGTGAATATTGTATAGATCACCCTTTAAGTAATGCAGGCTATCGTGAGTTATTCAGAATTGCAGGCATTAACCACTTATTATATATTATCAGCTCCTACCATAACCTGGTCATTTGTTTTTAAATGTTAAGCTCATTGGATTGGGTAGTTGGGTTTTTGCCAGTGAGTTGCGGGTTCAAGCACCGCTCCAGCTACAGAGGTTTGAGTAGGCAGGTAGTATCATTCGCCCTCATACAATGAGTGTGGCTCATTATCCACTGCACGAATGTGAAGAGGGTTGCTGAGTAGATTTCTACATTTTTGTCATTTTTGTTCTCAACAGAGGTTAATTACAACTATGCTAATAAAATCTCTCTCCTGTGTACTTCCGGTTGAAATATGTTATGACAGCATCAAAATGTTTGCCAAAGAGAAAAGGCATTTTAATCGAAACTGGTTTCGTTCTGAAAGGTAATGGTTAGAAAAATCGTCTCTTAAAACTACAGATTCCGTTTGGCTAAATAGTTTCTGTCTAGTGTTGTAGCGTTCTTTAAGGGACGGATAAAATCCTTTATAAACACTTTCTAAGAAGGGTACATCTGTCATAAGCTAAGCACATATACTTTAAAATTCTAGTCATATATAAGAAACGTAAAAGGTTGCATATTTACGTCTTTTTAGAAATTAAAACAGGTCAGTGTATCTAAGGTAAATCAGAAAAAGAAATGAATATTGTGATACAAATGAGTGTAAATTAACTGCTTGAGTAAACCAGACTGGTTTTAAACCTGACCTATAATGTGTCTATCGGATTTATACTCTCCAATAAACCTTGAAACATAGGCACACTAGTAGGCGCCTGACACTAGTTGTATCTGTCGACTTGAGGGTGGCATTCTACACCATTGGTCAAGAAGTTTATCGCGGTACATCTCACTGAAATGGTTACTGGGTTAGGGTGTCACCATGTTGAGTTCGGTATTCATACTCTCGTGGTCATATTAGAGCCTATGGCGAAGAATCAGGTGATTTAGAAACGTCGAATAGTGTCTCAATTTTTTTTTACTTTTTTTTATAGACGTACTTATGAAGATCGGCTTCTCTTCGTTTGACTTAACAGGGACTGACCGTGTCATACATGATAATTTAGTAGATCTAGGGTACTCAGATAACACAGTCTTGTTAGATGGAAATGCAATTTTCTGGACACCGAAGGGTAGTTTGAGAATGTTTTGAAAATGTTTCTTGCCACCTAAATGCAGCTGATCGCTCCTTCGGTGCCTTGTCTAGCAATAAGGAGTGAAGCGGTTGAGAGTGTTGATTAACTTTCGCTAACTTACGTGATCTATGGTGCCATCTAGGTATTCAACTGCCTTCGAAAAGTTGCTGTAGTTCCTTCCATTCTACTAAATGACTTAAACGTGACCATTAAAGGTGAAGGACATGAGAAGGATTCAGGTGTTCGACCACTGTTTTCGTAGTGTAGGCTATGCATCATGGAACTCCCACGTTAGAGGTTAGGCATAAAGTTGTAGATAACTGAGGTAGACCAGTTGATTCTGTTGTAAACTGTCATCGGGTGAAGTGACTGGAACCTAAATCATGCATATCTGCTGTATCTTATCGCCTAATGCT